GGCTTTACACTCAGTGCCGCTAAAGCAATTCACAGTGTTATGCAGCCGTCACCATCTGTACATGGAGCTTTCTCTCCCTAAACAGAAGTTCTGCACCCATCAGATGGTAGTTTTGGGGGCTCTGGACCCGGGTCCAACCAGAAGATGATGTGTCCAGGGGAAGGTCCGCAGGAGGAGTCCAGGTGGGGACCACACTGTTGTCTCAGTTTCTGTCACATCTCACGAGAGGAGGGCCCTGGGGTCAGGGGCCGGGGCTCAGCCCTCTCCACACATTAGGCAGCCCCCAGGAGGTGGGGACTCTTGATCCAAGAAAGCACAGGACCTCGCCCCAGGCCTCATTCAGTGGGTTTTCCCTGGAGGAGAGGGATTCCCCCAGAACCCTGGCATCTCTCACAGCCCCCCTCTCCTGCAGACACGTGATGGCATCTGGGGCTACTGTCATATATCTTGACTCCTAACCCTTTCCTTTTCTGTCCAAACCTGATCTCAGCCTTTGAAGCCCAGAACAGCTACCTTCACCCTTTTCATCAGGACAAGCCGAGGCCCTGAGCAACAGAGTCTCCAGCCCTGGGTGAGCAGGGCCAGGATCCGAGATGATGCCTGGTCCTGAGCCCTACATCCCACTACTCAGAGGGGACTAGGGTGAGTGCCAGGCCAGGCAGGGGTGTTTGAGCCCCATTTCCCCATGTGCTTGTGTCACTGTGAGCATTAACACTGCTGTCATATGACTGACAGTAATAGTCAGACTCGTCCTCGGCCTGGGCCCCGCTGATGGTCAGGGTGGCCATGTTCCCCGAGTTGGAGCGTGAGTACTGGTCTGGGATCCCAAGGACCGTTCGCTATCTCTGTAGATGACCAGCACAGGGGCCTGGCCTGGCTTCTGCTGGTACCAGTAAGCATACTTATTTCCAATGCTGTTCCTGCCACAGGTGAGCTTGGCCATCTATCCCGGGTTCACCGACACTTAGGGTGACTGAGTCAGTTCGAAGGAGGCCACAGAGCCTGCAGGAGAGAAAGGATCCCTGGGCTGAAGATGAAGGACCTTTTCCCAGGAGACCCGGGATCTGACCTGCATTGAGCCCCAGGGATTCCCTGGGACCCCAGCGGCCCCTCTCATCAGTCTCACCCCCAGTGACCTATGGGCTTGGCTGGTGGATGGAGCCCCTGAACAAATGAGAAGCCTGCCCCCTTCCTCTGGCAGGTGCAGCCCCTCAGGGCTCACACAGCTCTGAGCACAGTGTGGGATGTCATCCCCTCCAGCCCCTCGTCCTGCAGCAGGACCACCAGCCCCCTGCCCCCACTGGCAGTGCCCTTCTGAGCCTAGTCAGAGCCAGG